TGACTGACCCTGAAGAGACATATTAAATGTGTGTGATTTTTAATCTGCTAGTTAGCTTACTACTGACAGCCATTTGTCATCACAGAAAAGGTCAATAAATTTGAGATATTTGTCTTTTTTGTAAAAGAAAAATACATAATATCTTTAAGTTTGACAATTTAGCACTTTGCCAACCGTAACCGGTGAAGAGCTATGTAGAGAAAATATTGGTATATACAACTTTGAAGAAAAAGGGCAAAGATTTTTGGAGGTTTTTTTTGTTATCAATAGCACTTGCCAAATAAATACTTCATAGTAAAATATTTGCATTTTTTTTCAAAATTTGAATCTAGAATTCTACATACAATTACATATGTATTGTATCTCTCTCCTCATATATTTTTTAGATACATATTTTTCTTCCTGTGGCTTGTTTCATGAATTCAGGATTTAGCTAAGTGCATACGTTAAAGCCAAATAGGCCAATATTTCAAATACTCATGGATCTGTGATTCAAGTACCTACTATATGTCAAGAATATTCTAGACACTGGGGATTCAAAGACAAATTTAACGTAGTTCCCACCCTCAAAGATTTTTCATTTTATCAAGAGAGACAATTTCTTAAGCACTTACCAAACACTGCTAGGAATACCAACATAAAACCAAATCTAGTTCCTTCCCTCAAGGAGATTATGTTCCAGTAAAGGGAGATAACATGTATAGGATGGTGATGGCCTGGAAAGGGTGATGTAGTTTTGAAAGTCTTAGGGATGATGAGTAATATAAGGAAGTTAATTGGCAGTCCCTTTCTAGTAGCAATGGTAACATGGATTTAAATACTATTCCAGATAAGGAAAATAGGGAAAAGGGGACTAAGATGAAGATGTGCCTGGTGACAGGGCAGATGGCAAGAAGATGACTGGAGCGGAGTGTGAAAATGGACTGGGGTCAGCCAAATATAGTAGAACACATGATACCCATCAATAAGGGTAGCTGGGAGCTCATGGTGGGAGTTTCAGAGCTGAAAGAGTTAATCTCCCAGCAGAATGGATGGCAATAATCACATACATGATATAACAAAATTAAATACACAGTAATTTGGGAAGATTGGTACTAGAGGCTGGGGCTATTGGGAAAGACTTCATGTAGAAGGTTATGCTTTAGCTGAGTCTTAAAGGAAACTAGGGTTTCTCAGAGGTAGAAGTGAAGAGACAAGTGCATTCAAGGTATGGTGAACAGCCAATGCAAAAGCATAGAGATGGGAGAATTATCTTTTGTGAAGAATAGTTGGAGGGCTAGTTTGACTGATCTGTGGAGTGTGGCAATGGGAGTAGTGTACAGTAAGGCTACAAAAACAGTTTGGAACCAGGTTGTGAAGGACTTTAAATGGCAAATAGGAGTTTTATTTGATTCTAGCAGTAACAGGAGCCACTGCAATTCATAGAGCTGGGAAATGTCATGATCAGACCTATGCTTTAGGAAAATCATTTTGGCTGCTATGTGACAAGTTCCCCTTCCTTTTCTTCCCTTTTGTTTCTTCTTTTAAGAGTATCAAAATATAACAAAACTACTCCTATATTCCCTGGCTTATTTAACTCCCTCTTTGATCCCTGATGAAATTAGTGTTCTGAGGGGACAGTTGTTTCCTCTCTCCCTGTTAGAGGTAAGCTTCATGCTTGTATAATTCTTTCTGGTTGCTCAGTTGCATTTACCTTATGTTTCCTTTAATTCCTTTGTTTGGTTTTTGAAGTTTCTTCTTAGCTCTGGGCTTTTCCTTAGAAATGCTTGGAAGTCCTCTATTTTGTTAAAGGTCTAATTTTTCTTCTGTAGGATTATACTCAGTTTTTCTGAGTAAGTTATTCTTCATTGTAAATCTATATATTTTGCCTTTTGGAATAATGTATTCCAAGCTCTCTTTTTTTATATAAAAATATTTGGTAGCTGCCAAATCTTGTGTGATTCTCACTATAACTCCCTGGCACTTGTAATCTTTTCTTTCTGGTTGTTTGTAGTATTTTTTAATTTGTTCTAATAACTCTAAATGTTGGTTATGATATTCCTAGGAATTTTTATTTTGAAGTCTCTTTTAGGAGATTACCAATGAATCCCTTCTGTTTTCACTTTGCCCTCTGGTTCTAAAGAGATCTGGGCAGTTTTCATAGTTTTGTTTTGTTTTGTTTTGTTTTGGTTTTGGTTATGGCTTTCAGGTAGTTCAGTGACTCCTGTATTTTTTCTCTTTGACCTGTTTCTGAGGTCAGTTGTTTTTTGATATGAGATAACTTACATTTTTTCTTCTATATTTTCTATCTTTTAACTTTGTTTTAATATTTCTTGTTGTCTCATGGAAACATTAACTTTCCATTGCTCCATTCTAATTTTCAGGGAGTCTGTTACTTGAGAGAGGTTTTACCAGCTGTATTACTAATCTGTTTCTCCTTCCAAGTTTTTCCTCTAGAACTCTCATTTATAATATTTTAAAACTCATATCATTTCTTCTAGAAATTCTAGTCAACTTTGTGGCCAAGCTGTGTTTTCCTCTGAAGTTTTGCTTGTAGAATTACAGTTGCTTTCTCCTTTTAGGTTGGTATCTTGAGTGTCCCTGGTTTCATAATTGTTCTTTATCATCAATATCTTTTTTTACTCATTCTTGAAGCTTTACTTCCCAAATTGGGAATTTATGTTAAGGCCAAACTCTGTGTAGTTTTGATAGGAATGCTGAGGCCCTGTTTGGTTCTTCTCTATCTTATATAGGATATGTTACTGTTTTCTCTGAGTATTAAGTGCTCTGTTCTTCAAGGAGCTCATGGAGTGGGTGAGGCGAGAGAGCCAGAAACTTTCAGCACACCCTAAGCAATATGATCCAGAGAGCAATCTGATTGCTCCCCTCCTGGTATGGTCTTTGCAAGTTCCAGGCTCTTGTTTGGGTATGGGCAACACAATTGTAGGCTTGTTCCTGTATGGAGTTCCTGTAAACAGATACTGGTCTTAGCCCCTGACAACTAGCTAGAAGATTCTGCTGGTTCAGAACAATATAAGTCTAGTCTCATTATGGGTCTAAGTTTCTTTCCCTGGTTGTCTTTAGGCCCCAGCCCAGGTCTGTGAACTAAAACCCACATCCTGATCCAGGGTCAGAGTGATAGAGCTGTAGGCTCACCCCTGCTCTGAAATACGTTGCTCAAGGTAACAAGATACTAAATACCTGAACCAAAACTTGGAACCAGGTCTTTTAATTAAGTTGAGCGTTCCTTCTACTGCACCAAGCTATGATCCAAGCAGATAGCTTTTGTACAGAGGGGATAACTGAGAGAGAACTTAACATACTTTTCAATTACTCTATTTCTTTCTTGTCTCTTCTTTGTCTTTACAGTCATTTGGGGCCAGAATTATATATTAAGCATCGTTAAAGGAAACCAGCTACTGCGTACTCTCCCAAGGTCAGGAGTCAGAAAACAACGGGCAAGTTGTCCGTGTGGCACAGAAAGACTATGGATTCAGGTGTACGTTCTGCATTGTTGCTGCTGGGGGTCATTGCAGGTAGGAATCATTCACTTCTCAAGACCCATACATCATCCTTGAGTACCTTGAGCATAGAAGAAAAAGTAATTTTTTTTAATTTAAATTTTATATTATTTTCAAACAAAGATCATTTGTCTCTCCTTCCCCCTTCCTTCTACTCTCCCCTTCCCTACCATATGAGAAAGCAAGAAAAACAAAACCCCAGTTACAGGCATGTAGAGTCAAGTAAAACAAAATTTCTCATTGGCCATTTCTAAAAAAAAAAAATCTCAATCTACAGTTTGAGTCTCTCATCTCTGTTAGAAGGTGGATAGCATGTTTCATCATGAGTCCTAAGGAATTTGGGTTGGTCATTGTGTTGATCAGAGTTCCCAGGTTTTCTTTCTGTGTGTATGTATATGTATATATACAAATACATGTGTATATGTGTATGCATGTATACATATATATGTATATATATTCACAAAGGAAACATTTTCTTACACATATACATATATACATATATCAATATATAAATAAATATGTATTTCTTTGTAAATATTATATATAAATATATATAAAGTATACATACCTGTGTATATATACATGTAGCTATACAGATATACATATTATATATATATAATGTGCATATAACATATATTATATATATATGTTTCATTTAAATCAGCCAAGATCTACTTTCTTAACTTCCC